ATCATTGTGTTGGTTTATGTGTTGGGGTATTTTTGGTTTTTTTCCCCTTTCCTCTGCTACTTTGTGGAGTGAACCATCAAAACTGATGTAGTAAAGGTAAGGGTGTTTCCTACAAAAATATTTAAAATTTTATTAATTAAGAATGACCCTCATGAGGGAGATCTAAATAGATAATGAACCAGGGCAGAAGGTTAAAAACCTAAACTATTTGAAAGTCACCTTTAAGGAAATCCTCAACAGTTACAGCTTTTCAGTGACAACATATATAAATGAGCAGGCAAAGCTCAAGGACACTGCTCACTGATACTTATCTCTACACACTGAAATTAATGCTAAAAGGTTATGTTAGAACATGAATATAAATATTTATCCAGAAAGTGAGATAAAGAACAAAAATACAGCAAGCTTCATATCTGACAGAAAATTACTTAAAAATAGTTTTTCATGTGGTTACCTTCATAACTGGGTTTGCATGTCTTCTGTGGCATCTGTGACACAGAGGTTCACAAAACCAAAAACACTAGCCAGTACCTTTCTTTTCTATGTCAAAGCAGCCTGATATCTCACTACCCTACACAGTAACCATGTATTTTTCAGATACTGAAGCTTCACTACAGAAAAACTTGCTGGAAATCCAATACAAGAAATATTTTAGTTTTATTATATTAACCACTATCCCTAGACCTGCTCTGTATGTGCTCCTGAAAAATTCAAAGCAATTAAGATGGAATTTTTCCTCTTTGTATCTTTATCATCTGTTATTTGCAGTGCATATTTTGAAACCCTATGTTTATACTTTTCCCCTTTATTATCACAGTCCAATATGACTGATAAGTTTTTTAGCAGATTCTGCAGGCAGGACACAGTAGAGTAGAACATTTTCATTTCAATCTGCAAAAATACCCTGTAGTTCTTTCTGAACTTTATATCTGAGATGAAAAATACTCACCACTAGCCATTTCAAAGGATAAGTGGACAAATTTTCTAAGGTTGTGTCCTCAAGGCATAGAATTTCTAAAGTCTGCTTTAACCACACTTTCTTCTGGTAATGCCTCTCCTCTTTTGTTATTGGAACAACAGTAACAACAACAAAACCCAAGAAGGAAAATCAGAAACATGATGTTCGTTGTGCTTTGAAAACCAATGCTGACTAGTCTTCTACTCAAGTGATGTATTAACTTTTAGCTTTTATATTTTTCATATTCTGTGGTGCCTAGGTGTGTAATTTTAAACTTCATGTTAAGTGTTAGGGAGCTCCCTTCACAGAGTAGATAGACAAAACAATTCCTTTTCCAATTTGATACCAAGGACAATTGTTACAAGTTTCAGGCCCAAAAGCATAAACAACAGTGGACTGAAGAGAGAAAACAAGAACAATGGGACTTCATAACCTGAAGCAGTGATTGGATAATTAACCCTGATATGCAGATGCACCAAAACTTATAAAAATGTGAGACCTCATGACCAGTGGTCCATTTTGTGACCATTTTTAGGTCCCTCTTGGGTGTAGCCCTGGCCAGGCTCTTGTACTGCCCAAGGTGCATCCTTTAAGGCCTTTCCATAAATACCTACTTTAGTCTTCACTCTGCCTAGCCTCTGTTCTAGGTCAGCCTTCTCCAGGCATCACAAGGAACAGGCACTTTTTGATTTAGAAGGGAGCTGTGATTTTTAACCATTACCCCTAGACACATTTTTTAAGTGAAAGCCCTGAATCTGATTCTCGTTGCAGTTTCATGACTCAATTCACAGCATTACCTGAATTTTTTGACAATTCTTGAAAAAGCTTTTCTTAACTGCAGGATCACGATGTCTCCTTTCAGAGCTGAGAATTATTTGAAGCTTCAATTTTTATCTTACAATTTTTTTTTCTGTGGCAATAAACCTTCACATCAATTTTGTGCACCTCTATTTCCTTTTCTCTGAAGATATCTGCAGACCTTCTTTTCACTAAGCAAGCTATTCAGCTATGTCAGGTTAAGATTAACCCTGTTTTTCAGTGTAAGTGCTCCTTTTGTTATTCTCCAACCTGCCCACTACTAGAAAACTTGTCACTCTTTTCTCTCTCATCCATTTCAAAAGCCATTTCACCATCTCCTACCCTACCCATGCTCAATCCAGGCCTCCATCCAGCTGTGGAGGCGGGGCAGAGTGGTGCAGTGAACAGTGCACTGCTGTGGTCCAGATATTGGGTCTGTGAGTGTGTATTTAAGCAGGAAGAGCAGTGGTAATGGGTGGGAGATGCTGAGTGCCGTGGTCAGCACTGACCTCTCTGACCCCATCCTGTTTGTGACACATCCTGCCATCCTCCCTGTCCTCAGACCTGCCTTCCCTCTTCCTTGGAGCCAAGGCACCAGCACACACCACAGTGAAACTCCTCACCTCTGCTCCCCTGGTAGCTCTGGCTTGCATGTTGGGATAGAACAGATATGTATTTCATTTATTTCCTGTCTTGAGGGGTGTGTGAATATCCAGCTCTCCCAGACTGCCATGTGTTTTGTCAGTGGGGACTTTCTGGTGACTGTAACTTCCTTTGTACCTGGCACCCAAGCACAGAGCAGTGGTGCCAGCACACAGCCTGTGTGCCACAGAGACATGAAGAAAGGCAGTGCCCTGAGCTGTTCCCAGGACAGCCAGCAGCAGAAGCAGCTTCCCTCCACTGTCCCTGAGAGTGAAAAACCTGAGGAGCCAGCTCTCACAGCAGGACACAAAGTACAGAAGCCCTAATGGTACTGGACAGGACAGAGAGGATAAAGAAAGGACAAAGCAAATCTATAGTTTGTCCAGGAACAAAACTGTACAGAAGATTTTTCTGGGACAAACCACCATGCAGAAGTTCTGTGCAGAATACAACAAGCCTGGAGATGAGTAATCATCCCAAGAGTTCAGTCTGGAAACAGCTTCTGCCTACTCTCACAGTCACATGTCCCAGCTGCTTGCTTCCCCCTCTCATCTCTGACTCCCCTCTCCTTTAACAGTTGGATAAAGTCCTGTGTGTGTGTGTGTGTGTGTGTCTGTCTGTCTGTCCTATGAAGGCCTGCTGCTCTGTGAGCTTTTTTCAAGTTGAGTGCATCTGGATTCACTTCACTTTGATGTAAATGAAAACTGTACTTCATCAACTGCACCTTTATCCATCCCACTCACAGGCTGGATTAAGTTTTTTTGCCTTCTTTTGAGTCAAAGTGGTTCATTACAAAAGAAATGTTTACCTTAAAACACAAACCTGCAAAAGGTAGCAAACTCCATCTTTTAATTCTCTCTAGCAAGCATTCATCAGTAGCACAGCTTGCTACATCTCATAGTTACTGAAAAAAGCCCCAGTGATGCTGATATGAACAAGAGCTGCCCACACTCTAGACAGCCATAACAGCATCAAACCTGTCTGTATCAACTAAGGGCAAGAGAAAAGAAGCAATGATTAGCACATCTTGATTAGCACAGTTACTGCACTAAGCAAGAGACAGAGAAACTTTGCATGAAGAACAGAAGTGTGGGAGGGTTTCATAGGGTTACTAGCATGGTTTGTACCTCACTGCACTCCCCTTGATCCCTCTGTCCTGTGGAGCACAGGAAAACTCCAAAAGGGCAGCCTACCACAGCACGTCCCCTTCTGCTGCAGAGTGACAGCTTCAGCTTTGGCACAATTACTCAGTGTGTACTGTTTAAACACACCCATCCTCTGTGAGCTGGGCAGAGGTGCTGGCTCTCACTTTGCCTCTGTGAGCCCATCAGGGCAGGCAGCTGCTGCAGGCTTGTCCCAGGTGAGTCTCCAGGATAACAGAACCAAGAAAAATGCTTGGAGCCACTTCCATGCAGGATCCATCAGTGTTAAACATCCCTGAGTATGAGTCTTACACAAGACCTCCTCTTGCTACAGAAGCAACATGGTCCAGCGTGGGAACTACCAGTCTGGCCTTGGGATGTAGGTGAAAGGGCAGTGGGAGCACACCAAAATACCCCTAAAATAACCTGCACCCATCCTGCTCCTAACACTTGAACGCCTGCTGTGTCTACAGCATGTTGGCCTTGCAGCTCTGAACTGAAACAGTGCCAGGCTTGTTGCATTTACTTTAATCCTCCTTGAGTTGTTAGCAGAAACCTGGGTCAGAAAGAGGTTTCTGGGGTTATCAAATCCAGTTCTCCATGTGCACAGCAACAAGCTTGCTCAACACCCCCACCAAGTTCCATCTTCCCAGCAGTTTGGGCTTTTGCCCTTGCTGCTGACACTAAATAGCTGTGCCCAAAGTTGCTACACTGACAGTTGCCACTGTTGTTTAATTTGTTGTCAAATCCATTCTCATCTGATTTAAATAAATTTGTTCCTTTACCAGGATAATTTAAATATCCTCCCTGGAGTTCACACTCTCCCCTGAGGCTTACTTACAGAGAGCAGTCGTGCTGCTTTCCAGCTTCCTTCTGCCTGACAAGCAGTCAAATCTCCATTCCTGTGATTCTCCTGAGCAATTCCCTGCTTTGCTCCAGTGTATTTTTGGTGGTGGGGATACACATCCTTCCATGGAGCTAACACTCAGCATGCCCTGCAGATGCCAGCCCTCAGCCCCCATCAGACAAGGGTGTTTTCTCTTTCACTGGTGCCCAGTCCTGCACACCCACAGCAGCAGCACAACGTAGTTTGAAGATCCAACATGGTTTGAAGATCCAACATCCTTAGTCCCACCATACCCTGACCTGCTCATCCAGTCTCCTTCACAACGTTTCTCCAAAATGAAAATGCAGAAACTGCCACCTCACCACCTTTTTTTCATTTTACTATGTAACTTTTTACTCCACCAAAGAAATAAGTTTTCCTAATCACGAGTTGGATAAAACAACTAGAGATATAAATAAACAGCTAGATAAATAGTAAACTGTATAAGCAACATTCAGTGGCACCACTGTAAATCCCAAACAAGTCACCATCACCAACCAAGAAGTGTTCATCTGTCCTGATACTTTCCCCCACCCCGTCAGGAAACAGCAAAATCTCATTTGCAATCACTTACCTTCTGCCTTGACAGTAAGTTGAATTTTCGCAGCCTTTGTCCCATATGGGTAAGTAGCAAAAGTGCATTCGTACTGCCCACTAAGGGACACAGTAACATTTTCCAGATGCAGAGCCCACCAATTGCATTCAGAGGTGGCATTTGGATTGGTGGAACAGAGGGACACTGTGTCATCCCCACTGCAGCACCTCCTTGTGCTGAAGGACACAGAGAAGTTGTAAGGAGCCTCAGAAAACGTGAAGTAATGGGTGCCATAGGTGGGGTGAAATACAGCTATTTTGGTAGATGGGCTGCCATCAGTCTTGGACCATTGTGTCTGTATGATGTGGGTGGTGGGCGGTTTTGGGAACACGCACAGCAGGGTCACGTCAGCACCTGGCAGAGCATGGACCACTTCCCTCTGGGGAATGACATCTGCAGGCTGGCCTTAAAAACAAACAGGATCATTTTCAGTGCAAGTAATGTTTAAACAAAGCTTTTCCTGGTCCATCTTTGACATGATTTGGTGCCATAGACAACTATGAAGACCCTACTACTGTAACCACAGGCAAGAAGCTTTAGAGTAAATCTCTACCAGTACAGACTGCAGAGAGAAAACTGGGAGAGCAAATGCATGTGTGTCTGGAAGAGGCCAGGGAGGTTCTGTCACACGTGGGAGAGAAATGAGAGCTCTGAGGGCCTCTGTGGAAATGAAAATCTTTCAAGCAATACAAATAAAGCAGAAGCTGGGCACAGTTATTCCCCAGTTCTTTTTGCAAGAACAAATAAGCTATTCCCACTGGCTAATTCCCTGCACCATCCCTTGCCCATTGCCTTTGTAGCTTCAGCAGAGAAAGCTGTTCTCTGTGTTATTAAACAGCTCCTGCATGTCCTAAATGAGTGCCTGTCTCCATGTCAGAGCAAGCTGCTCTGCTGTGTGTGGTTTCTTCCTCAATTAATTCCATAAAGCAGGTGGCAGTCCGTAGTGTGCCATATAAAGGAGTAATGGATCGATGAAATGAGGGGCTTTCAGCAGGAGCCTGTACCACTTGGTTTTGCTGCTGTTGTAGTAGAGTTGATTTATATCCCTTTCTCCCTCCTATGAGTAGGAGTCTTGCAGTCCCCAAACCCCTGAATGCAGGGCACTGACAAACTCAAGGAGATGAATAATTTATGGAGGGGGTTGTTGCAGTGAGACGAGTAATCAATCACTCCCATAGAGCCATACACAAAAAGTCCCTTTTCCAAAAGGACATGTGGGTCCACAGAATAAAATTAATTGTGCAGTTGTCCTTAGGTACAGACTTGTGCCCACTGCTCACCTTCCTTACTTGAAAAAGCCAGGTACCAATTCCTTTGCTTTGACATTTGCTGTGCCGTGTGTGCTACACAGCTCTGGGGCACCTGAGCCAGGGGGTGCCCCACCAGGACTTGGGCACCCTCAGCTGTGCTGCAGTGTGCCCCACACTCCCCCAGCTCAGCCAGGAGCCAGGCAGGGACCCTGAGCACCCTCAGCTCTGGCTGGACAGGGTCAAGGCACAAGGGCAGAGTGACACATCCCCACAGAGCTGGCTCTACCTGTCCACTGACGGGTGACATGGACACTGGAGATCAGATGTGTGCAGAGCAAAGCTACTGAATGGCCATGGCCAACATCAATCTCTGCTGCTTCATTGCTGCATGTGTTCTGCTCATCTTTTATTCTAAAAAATGTGATGATACAAGAGGGTAAATAAAAATAAACCTGAATGACAAGTCTCACAGCCTTGTGCTGTGAGAAAAATTACTAAAACTATTTTTGTTAGTCCAAGGAGACTGTTATTATAGGAAACGTCCTCTGATTTCACCACAAGTTTTGCATCAGTAAAAGTTAAGGAAAAATCAATTAGAAATCTTGCAATCAAAGACTAAGACTTACAAAGATTTATTATCAAACAAAAGACACACAGCATTTTTTTTTCCTCATATTCATGCTGATGCTGCCTTAGGTCTAAGGATCATATAAAGAATGCCTCTGAAAGATCACTTAAGGAATTTATATTAAGTTGAAAAAGTTATATATGTAGAAACAACATTTTAATTTGCATTATTTCTTAGTAGCCTAGCACATTAGATTATTTTAACTGAAAACATTTTGTGCAATAGTGTTCTTAACTTTTTGCTAGCTTCTCAATATAAATAATCTCACTTTATATAAACTTTATTTTTCAAAACCAAATAGTGTCCATTAGTGCATACCTGTGCTCCAAGTGAAATTTCTTAGAATAATTCCCAGACATTTAGGTGATCTCCACAAAGGGCATAGAGGCCTCCACTTTCACCTTTGAGTGACTTCAGTGAGGATTTCATCCTCAGGGTAAACAAAAACCCCAATTCCAATTTTTATGTAATTGCCATTTCTTTCTTACATGGGCATGCTTTGAGGCTTCTATTACTTTCTTTGAACTTGAGATTTTCTATGAATTTTTCTATTTTCTATTTTCTTTGAATACACGTATGAATTATTTTTACTTAAAGAACCAGTTTTCCTCAGTGATGTAGAAAGAACAGCCTATGCCAGATTGTGAGATGCATCCTTCTATGCTAGTCAAATACATGCAGTTTTTCCCTTCTTAACTGGAAAATTTGGTATCCTACAAAATTGTTCTTCCTAGCTGGTAATAACTATTCTTGTGTTTATCACGGTCAGAATTTTGAAGGGGTGGGGGTTTGTGAACATCATCCTTTTTCTTTGTTTTCCTCAGACTGCTTTTGGTTTAAATTCCCTCTGACAAAGGTGCAGCTCCCCTTAGTCAACTTTTCAGAGTATTTTACTTGAATGACGAACTTGTTTCTTGAGACTTTAGGCACATAGGGCTAGGTGCAGAAGAGGAAGGGAAAAATCTGTTTAAGGGGTTGCACCTCTACAGTTTACTCTTGTCTTGAAGTATTTCAATTCTTTCTCTCTGCATACACAGGTATGTAAGACAGAGACAGAGAGGTATTTTTTATTTTCCCATTGAATGCAGTTTACCTTTTGGCCCATTTGAGAGGGGCACACATTACCCTAACTTCAAGTGAGCTCATCCCAGTGATTATTCTGGCGGGTTAGGAATATTGAATTAAATAATCTGCCAGTCAGCACACCATTTAATCCCTACTATCTGCACTTTGTAACCAGGGTTATTAGAAAGTTGTCAGGAAATAGAAAATCATTGCCAGTAGCTACAGCTCACCCTAGTGAGACTCATTAATCCCCCACCCTCCATCATAAACTGAGTCAAGGTGTTCCCCTGACACTCTTACCTGTGACACAGGGCACTGAGAGCAAACAAAAGAGAGAGAAGAGCCACCTTGCTTTCATCTCTTTGCTTGATGAAGTTCTGGTGAGCATGTAGCTCTCTTGGTGCTCCCTCAGAAGAGGAAGTTGAAGTGGCCTGCCCCGTGCAGACAGGCAGATGTGCAGCAGTCACTCAGCATGACTTGTAAGAAATGCTTCATTAAACTGAAAGCCTCAGTTTCCTGCCAGAGTGATAAAATAAGTACATCTTGTGAAACCTTTAAGACAAAAACATCACCTACATTTTCGCCCATGTTGAAAACCAATTATTTTTCCTTTGTCTTTGCAGATTAACTCAGGGCAAAAACCAGTTTACTGATTTACAAACTCTCAAAAACATGCCAGGTACCTAAGTCTGAATATACAATTTTTGTGGATATGCTTTAGGGGTGATTATAGTGGTGCCAGGTTAGCTGTTGGAATTGTTCTCAAAGGTTACTTCCAACCCTGCTGATTCTGTATGTTCTGTGTAATATATAGTAGATAGCATACAAAAAAGCTGATTTTCTTTTTCATTAATTTCCTTCATGTTCTAGTCTCACATATCCTATTTCTATGCTCTCTACATTCTGTAGCTTTAAAAAGCACAGCAAAACATCAAAAACAATCTCCAGAAATTAAAACAGATTGAAACAAGAGTTTCTACATTCACTTTCCACCCCCCCTCCCCCTTTTCTTCCTAAAAGGAACATGAATTATTTTCTGCAGTTGGATGAATTCCAATATCACATGGGACAATGTCCCTTGGTGTGGTGGTTAATCCCTGTACTGTCCTTCAGCTGTCAGTTTTGATAGTGGCAGCACATCAGGTGGAGGAGCGTCCTGGCAGTCCTGTCACCTGCCTTTATTGCAGGTCACCTGCACGTCCTTCTGAGCTGTCCTGGAAGCACACTGCATTTCCATGAGCTAGGCACACACCTGCCAGCAAAGCATCTCATTGCAGGCAAGTCATGCAAATCTGCTGCATTTGTTGGCAGCTTTTCAGAAAGAACCAGGTTTGAGTCCTGCTTATCACGCTTCTTTCCCCCAAGGCAAAAAGAGCAGGGCAGGACACCTCAGGCGGATATGGGTTATGTGCTGGCTCTTCATGGTGTGGAGGTTTGGCAGGATGCTTGTTGCCCCTGATGGCTCCATCCTCAGGGGCCCAAGGACACCGATTGGGCTTTGGGACAGAGCCTATTACAGCTGTTCCTCAGGGAAGAGAAAGCATCACAGTCCCTGAAACAGGCACATCTCTCTGCCAGCAGTGCCCTCCCTCAGGAGGGAGTCCTGAGCTGAGTCCTGACATGTCACTCCCTGACTGCAGCTCCCCATACCTCCAGGTGCCAGGAACAATGTGAATGGTGAAAGACTCTCTGGCCATTTTCCTATTTTGTGACCTGCCAGGTGTTAACAACATCTGTACCACTTCCCTAATTTGTGCATATGCAAACTTCTGGTGTCACATTTAAATAGGCTCCAGGTGGGGCTAGTAGTGCTGGCTGGGCTATGTCAGGGCTCCACACATCTTGGAGAATAAATGCTGCTGCACAGTTCTTTTTTTGTTTGCATTGCCCTTCTACCTGAGGAAATACACTAAGAGCCCTTGTAGGAAATCACTGGATGCCCAAGTTACTGCTAAAGGAATTTTCCCCAGGGATGAAATCTCTGCTTGTCATTCAGAAATCTGACAGAGAAAGATCTGTCCCAGAGGACCAAGAAATCCTGAAGCTGAGGATGAACAGAATATTCAAGCCATTGTTATTGAGAGCCACAGAAGGGAGTAAAAATACTAAAGAGATATGTTCTGATTTCCACTTCAGAGCGAAGACCACAAAGAACACAGAGATTATCTGCAGATCCTAGAGTGCAAGAAAATCTGACTTCAGTCTAAAATTTGTATTTTCATTTATGATTGCAGTTACCTTAGCTTCTCCTGCTGATCAGGTCATGTAAGCTCTGTACCATGAGAGAATGTATTTTGTCTTAAATGAGCTTTTTTATTGATCTAAAACACACATCACAAATTGACAAGACAGCCCAAGTGCAGTGTGGCATATTCAAGAGACAAAGAAATCCCTGAGCAGCTTGTTTGAATTACTAGATCACTGTATCTTGCCCTTAGAGTTTCTTTCCCCCCCTAAAATAATATCCTAAAAATATAGTGCTGCCATGTTTTATTGTGTTGACTGAATGCACCCACCCAGCTCTGTTGCTGTGCTTGGTGATTAATAACAGACAAGAAAGAAACCTCCCAGCATGATGGAGTTTTGTTCTGTTCAGAGCTGTGTTTTGCCCCAATTCCATCCTAAAGCCTAGGTCCTGAAATAGTCACCCTGCTGCTGACATTTATGTGTGTGAACAGCATAGTCCTGCCTCTGCAAATGACAGCAAAACCCATTCTGAGACACGCCACTTATCTCACCTAGGAGGTGAGGGACACTCTTCCCTGGGGCCAGACTTGAGGTCCTGCTCACAGCAAATTATCATGAGAGGTTCTTTCCCCACTGCCCTTTCCTGGAAAGTTATTTACATGCAGCTTTGCAAATGCCAGGGTTGGATGTTACACACCAAGTTACGGATGGCAAGGATGCGAGCAGGTACTGAAACATATCCCGAGACCATGGACTTCATGAGTAGCTGGAGGGAGGACACACCTGTATTTGGCTTTTCCTTAGTGGAGAAGCTACAGGGATAATTGTCTCAGAGCTGGGATGTGCAGGTTTTTCCTGCCATTCCAGAGACACACAGAAATCACTGCAAGGCTGGGGGTTTTCAGAAAAAAAGAAGTTGTGCCCAAGAAAGTGACACACCTTGTCAGTGGCTGTGTGAACCACAGTGTTTTCTTTTAGGCTGGACAAACATTTGACCTGGTTGATAGTCCCCTGAGTCCTGGGTGGTGTCAGGAACAGATGGGCTCTGAATATCATTGAGGATGGGTCCTTGACAGTGCACTGCAGCCAGGGGCCCACTGCACAGGGACATCTCATGCAGCATTAATTTGTTTCCATTCCTGTGGGATTAAAGGATGGCAGTGGGAGATCCTTCACTTATTTTCTGCAGATCTGTTCACCACTGGAGGAAGTATTTTAAATGCTACAAATTACTCTTTCCATGGCAATCACCCTATTATGTGTCATGCTCACAAACCCTCCACTGCAATACGTTTCTTCTGCCTCAATTATAGTAAGCTGTACCTAAGGAGGAAGCACAGCTACAGTCAGTCCCACAGAAAAAGAAATCTTGAACTCCAGAGACAAATTCAATTATTCACAAAGAGAGCCTTTTTAGAAATGCTAGTGCACGAGCCGTTCCTGCCAGAGGCGAGGATGATTACCCTTGCAGACTGGTGTCCTCTAAACATTGCTTAAAGAAAGCACAGGTCCCCAGTGGAAAAGATGGGGAGACTTTGAAGCAGGAATTTCATTAAAGAGTAAACTAACCTTTCAGGTTGGCTTGGCACTTGGCACAGAAACTCTCACTTCATCTCTGTGTTTTGGTTTTGAACTTCTTTGAAACCTGCAGAAATGACTCCACAGCCATGGGGGCCCTTTGACCACAGCACCTCATGGGGGGATGGATGAGGGGGTGGCATGGGCTGGGGGGGAGCAGCTTTGCAGGGGACAGGGCACTGAATTGGCAGTGGGACACACACTGGGCTTCTTCAGTGACCCCCTGCTTCCTCTGTCACCCCTTCCCACCCCAAGCTCTGGTGTCTCTCTCCTGCTCACAGCACTGCCTCCTCTGCATGTGGGGGACAAGAGGGAAGAGAGTTTCTTCCTCTGCTTCCTCCTTGTACTCCTCCTCTCTCACAGCTGCATGTGCACCCCTACACCCTGTGTATGACACAATCCAGCCCCATTCCATCCTGGGTCTGGGAGCTGCATAGTGAGGTGCACACGCTTCCCTCTCACCAGCAGCATCTCCATCTGAAAGATGTTCAATGCTCTGAGTGAATTTTGTTCCCTATTGCCTCACTGACAGGTCAGAGCATGGGAGAAAACCAGGAACAACTCAGCCCTAGGTGCCTTCCTGCTTCAACTTTCTAATTACTTTTTCTAATTAGAGGGCCTAACTTACAGGCCATGTTTCAGAGAAAGAGAGGATATGTTTGGGGATAAATGGAGGAGAATGAGCTCCCTGACCTTCTCTGCCATTCCAGCCACAGGTCCCTGTGGTCCTCTGCTCCCATTTAATGCTGTTTCTGACCAATGATGTTCTGTTGGGGTAAGCTGTTGGGCATTTCCTTGTGCAAAGTACAAGTTGCTGAAAAAGCAGAGTATAAAAAGTGCAACCAGTGAGCAAAATAAAACAAGTAACAGGAACATTGACCCAGCAATTACACACTAATGAAATACTTCCCTGTGAAAACCAGCCGAATATTTCCACCAAAATTAAAGACTCTACACAGCCATTACTTCTAAAATGAAAAGGAGAGCACACATGAAGCCAGCCCTGCTTTCTTTTGTGCTTTCTCTTTTCTAGATACAACACAAGCTGTGATTCCCCACCATTTTCAACAACATCAGCTAAAGGCTTTTTTCTTGTGCAGCTCGTCTTCCAGGTTTTGTAAGAAAATGTTTCACAGTAGATAAAGAACTGTATAACAAAATATAATGGCACCCATAGCTTTGAAAAAGGCATTTGTTTGGAAAAGATAATGCACTGCCAGTGCTGGGAAACACCTGCTCGTGTGAGACTACAAGGTTAAGATTCCACTGAAGCCTCCCACAAGGGCCATGTCATCCCCTGGCCACTTTGGCAGCAGCTTCAGAGACCTGAAGCAGCTTTTGCAAATCACTCCAGCAAGAAGAGTCTGCTTGTGAAAGAACTTTCCTCACACACAGCTTGTGGGACTTTGAGTGGTGCATGGCAAGGGGAGTTAATAAGACAAGCAACAGACCACTTGGTCAGAACTGAAAAGTGTATCACTTCTGAAGGGATATAAGCCTAGATGGGCTGTACAGCTCATTTTACCATGCAGACTATCCTCAAAGGATTGTGTTCCCCAACTAATTTAAATTTATGCATCCTATTGTATGCAAATACCTTCTTGAAGGCACATAGCCACCTGGTGAGAGCACAACATGGCACACTGGTTAGAATTCACCACTGAGGA